CCAGGCTCCACAAAACCTCCAATCTTTACCATCAGGGCCAGTGCTGCCGGAAAAGTGGACATGGGAACAACAGCAATTAAGACGTGGTTCCATGCTCCAAAAAACTTTCAATCTCCTGATCAGAGGCCTTTCTGCAGGAAAGGTGGACCTACTAACAACAGCAATTAAGAGGTGGTTCCAATCTCCTCAAAACCTCTAATCTCCCGATCATGTTCTTTGCTAGTGGAAAGGTGGACCTACGAACAACAGCAATTAAGAGGTGGTCCTTGCTTCCCAAAACCTTCAATCTCTCAATCAGGGGCCTTTCTGCCGGAAAGGTGGACGTGGGAACAACAGCAATTATGAGGTTGTTCCATGCTCCACAAAACCCCCAATCTTCCGAACAGGGGCCTTGCCGCCGGAACTGTGGACCTGAGAACAACAGCAATTGAGACTTGGTTCCATGCTCCTCAAAACTTTCAATCTCCTGATCAGGGGCCTTACAACCGGAAAGGTGAACCTGTGAACAAGAACAATTATGAGGCGGTTCCATGCACTTCAAAACTTTTGATCTTCCAATCAGAGGCCTGGCTACCGGAAAGGTGTACCTGGGAAGAACAGCAATTAAGAGGTGGTTCCACGCTCCTCAAAACCTCCAATCTCCCGATCATGTGTCTTGCTGGTGGAAAGGTGGACCTGTGAACAGCAGCAATTAATAGGTGGTTCAATGCTTCTCAAAACTTATAATCAGAGACCTTTCTGCAGGAAAGGTGGACCTTGGAACACCAGCAATTAAGAGGTGGTTCCACGCTCCTCAAAACTTCCAATCTCCCGAACATGTGCCTTTCTGGTGGAAAGGTGGACCTGGAAACAACACCAACTAAGAGGTTGTTCCAAGCTCCTCAATATCTCCAAACACCCAATCAGGGGCATTGCTGCCGGAAAGGTGGGCCAGGGAACAACAGCAATTAAGACGTGGTTCCATGCCACTGAAAACCTCCAATCGCCCGATTAGGGGCCTTGCTGGGGGAAAGGTGGACCTGGGGACAACACCAATTAAGAATTTGTTCCAGGCCCTCAAAACCTCCAATCTTTACCATCAGGGTCAGTGCTGCCGGAAAGGTCGACCTGGGAACAACAGCAATTAAGACGTGGTTTCATGCCACTGAAAAAGAATTTGTTCCAGGCCCTCAAAACCACAATCGCCCGATTAGGGGCCTTGCTGGTGGAAAGGTGGACCTGGGGACAGCACCAATTAAGAATTTGTTCCAGGCTCCTCAAAACCACCAATCTTTACCATCAGGGCCAGTGCTGCCGGAAAGGTGGACCTGGGAACAACAGCAATTAAGACGTGGTTCCATGCCACTGAAAACCTCCAATCGCCCGATTAGGGGCCTTGCTGGGGGAAAGGTGGACCTGGGGACAGCACCAATTAAGAATTTGCTCCAGGCTCCTCAAAACCACCAATCTTTACCATCAGGGCCAGTGCTGCCGGAAAGGTGGACCTGGGAACAACAGCAATTAAGACGTGGTTCCATGCCACTGAAAACCTCCAATCGCCCGATTAAGGGCCTTGCTGGTGGAAAGGTGGACCTGGGGACAGCACCAATTAAGAATTTGTTCCAGGCTCCTCAAAACCTCCAATCTTTACCATCAGGGTCAGTGCTGCCGGAAAGGTGGACCTGGGAACAACAGCAATTAAGACGTGGTTCCATGCTCCCAAAAACTTTCAATCTCCTGATCAGAGGCCTTTCTGCAGGAAAGGTGGACCTACTAACAACAGCAATTAAGAGGTGGTTCCAATCTCCTCAAAACCTCTAATCTCCCGATCATGTTCTTTGCTAGTGGAAAGGTGGACCTACGAACAACAGCAATTAAGAGGTGGTCCTTGCTTCCCAAAACCTTCAATCTCTCAATCAGGGGCTATTCTGCCGGAAAGGTGGACGTGGGAACAACGGCAATTATGAGGTTGTTCCATGCTCCACAAAACCCCCACTCTCCCGAACAGGGGCCTTGCCGCCGGAACTTTGGACCTGAGAACAACAGCAATTGAGACTTGGTTCCATGCTCCTCAAAACTTTCAATCTCCTGATCAGAGGCCTTACAACCGGAAAGGTGAACCTGTGAACAAGAACAATTATGAGGCGGTTCCATGCTCTTCAAAACCTTTGATCTTCCAATCAGAGGCCTGGTTACCGGAAAGGTGTACCTGGGAAAAACAGCAATTAAGAGGTGGTTCCACGCTCCTCAAAACCTCCAATCTCCCGATCAGAGGCCTTGCTGCCGGAAAGGTGGATCTGGGAACAACAGCAATTAATAGGTGGTTCCATACTCCTAAAAACATCCAATCTCCCGATCATGTGTCTTGCTGGTGGAAAGGTGGACCTGGGAACAGCAGCAATTAAGAGGTGGTTCAATGCTCCTCAAAACCCCCAATCTCCTGATAAGAGGCCTTGCTGCCGGAAAGGTGGATCTGGGAAGAACAGCAATTAAGAGAGGGTTCCATGCTCCTCAAAACCTTCAATCTCCCCATCAGGGAGTAGTTTTGTTTGAAGTAGTTTGGAACGATAAATTAATGGATAGCGACTCGGATTGAGGAATCGGAGAGATGGGTTCGAATTCTAGTCGAATCTATTACATTCACTTACGTGCAAATACCCTTGGGAAATATATAAATCCTCTCCTCCCAGCTATGGGTAAATAGCAGGACAGACTGGGTTCTATAGCCTTTGATGGTAACTGGTCTACCGCAGAAAGAAATGGCAACCTATTACGTGAAAAATCTGTGTCGTTAGTCATGTATCGAAAGATACATGATCGCCTAAGAGTGTATAACTCATGGCAAGTAAGGAATCAGAGAGCGAAGTTCGAATTCCAGTCAAAACCATTACATTTACTTACATGCTAATACCCTTGGGAAAGGTATGAATCCTCTTCTCCCCCTCTCCCACCCCCCGGCTATGGGTAAATAGCAGGCCAGACCGGGTTCTATAGCCTTGGATGGCATCTGGTCTAGCGCAGAAAGAAATGGCAACCTACTGCGGGAAAAAATCTGCCTCGCCAGTCATGTATCGGCAGATACAGTTATGCCTAAGCGTGTATCACGCATGGCACATAACTGACTGAGTGTGGAACATCAACATCTTGATTCTGTCATTATTTTCTCTTCAATTTACATGTGCTATCCATTTTAGTTGTTGCTGCTCTTGAAAGTTCTCAAGTAACGTCGTTTCTGTTATTTGGTACAGTTCTTTGTTTGTGGTTATGTAGCATCAGTCCACACGGAAAAAGCAGGACCCTTGATAAAATTAACGGCTTTATTCGCTCGAAGCTATTTTTAATCATTGAGAATCTGAGAAAATAGTTGTAGACAGCTGACAGTTTAGATATTTTAGGACGAGTTTGGCAGCATACATGACGTCTATATGACAGTCTCGTTTTGACGAGACTATTTAAGCACATGACTCGGGATTTTAGGTTAAGGCTTTGGTTTGGTTTTAGAAGCAATTTGCCACGCTGGGCGCAATATGAAATCCGTAAAAATCCCAAACCTATGAAAGATTTTTTAGGGTCCCAGTTATCTATCTATCTATCTATCTATCTCAATCTGTTCATATCTATCTATCTATATCGGTCCATATCTATCTATCTCAGTCCATAAATATATCTCTATCTATTTCAGTCTGTTCATATCTATCTATTTATCTCAGCTCAAATCTATCTCGGTCCATATCTATCTATCTCGATCCATATCAATCTATATCTATCTATCTATCTATATATATATATATATATATATATATATATATATATATCAGTCTGTTCATATCTATTCGTCTCAGCTCAAATTTATCTATCCCAGTCCATATCTATCTATCTATCTTTATTTATTATAATTTTATCATATAGACAAAACCATTTTACTCACTACAAAGATGCAACTTGGTTTCAGTGCATTTCAACTGCACTTCGACGGGTGAGAATCGAAAATGGTTATGAACAATCCTGCTTATAGGCAAGCCGTATGTGAAATGTCACTTCCTTTTTTCTATTTGTTTAAGAAGAAAAATATACATAAAAAAATAGGTGACGGAGTGGAACAATAGTGCTTGTTGATAGCAGTTTGGTGAAGAATGGATTGGGATTTTTTTGTATATTTTTCTTCTCAAACAAATGAAAAAAAGGAAGTGACGTTTCACATACGGCTTGCCTATAAGCAGGATTGTTCATAACCATTTTCGATTCTCACCCGTCGAAGTGCAGTTGAAATGCACTGAAACGAAGTTGCATCTTTGTAGTGAGTAAAATGGTTTTGTCTATATGATAAAATTATAATAAATAAATAATTATCGCTCTACTATCGGTATCGAGCCCTCTTTTGGATTAATGCTGTGAACGTTGGAACATATATTACTTTCGTTCTCATCGTATCGGATATCTAACTATCTATCTATCTATCTATGGCAATCTGTTCATATATATATATATATATATATATATATATATATATATATATATATATATATATATATATCAGTACATATCTATCTATCTCAATCTGTTCATATCTATCTATATCAGCCCATATCTATCTATCTATCTATTTATCTCAGCCCATATCTGTCTATCTCAGTCTATATCTATCTATCTATTTATCTCAGTCTGTTCATTATCTATCTATTTCAGTCCATATCTGTTTATTGCAGTCTGTTGATATATACACATATATATATATATATATATATATATATATATATATATATATATATATATATAAATTAAGAAATAATCCTCTTTGATTTGTATTCGGCTTTGAAAAACGCATTCAAATCTAAAGCGAAAAGCAAATATGCATACAAATAATGTCCTCGTTTATTGATCTCGATTTCTCCTCTGTCCCTAATTTGATCTGCACTTTATAACTTTTGTAACTTCAAACCAAGTTTTCACATTTCATTTGCTGGACATGACGTCAATATCCATTATTTTTGCTTTTCCTTCGTGCACAGCTTTCAAATCGATTAACATTTTGCACTAAAATGGGCGACAAAGGACTCAATCCTTTCACTGGCGAATGTAGCGGTCATCGCAGCAAGGCAACAAAAGACAAGCGGCCGAATGGGGAAAATTAGCATAAAAAAGCAACAACGGATCGCATATTGATAAGCATTCAATTGAATGATACTTTCATTCGGGGATCAGACGACTATGGTGAATTTGCGATAGATCGAACAATTACGAAGACAAACAGCGTGAAGCATATGTTCGAGAATTGACATTAAAAAAAAAATGTGTGGTAGCCGGATGTTTGGATTGGAAGTTGGACATTTTCAACCGGGGATAAGAATTGAAATTGGAATCAGATTGAACTGGCTATTTGGATTTTCTATAGAACAAAATGGAAATTGAGACAGGAAAAGGAAAAAGAAAGAAAGAAAGAAAGAAAGAAAGAAAGAAAGACAATATTGATTATGAGAAGATGAAAAGTGAACAAAAGAAAAAGCAATGGGTGAATGTAAGAGCCAATCGATAAATACCACTAATGAGTAAAAAACGATAGATAGATAGATAGATAGATAGATAGATAGATAGATAGATATGAACAGAATGTGATAGATTTTTAACAAAAAGAAACTGACAGACTGGCGTATAATAAGTAGATAGATTTGGAAGACGGACATAGATAGATAGATAGATAGATAGATAGATAGATAGATAGATAGATATGTTCTCGGGAGTATATCATTATGGAAACATTTCCACTGATGGAAATATATAGTCAGGTCTACTTGGTATTAAAGACTACAGAAATCAATTGGTACGTCTATTCGGAACAGCATATTTCTTTGCTAGAATATAGCACTAAAATATACACTCACGTTACTATGAAAGAGGCCATTTGTATTTGGTACACAAAAGTACTGAAAATGAAACTGGTAGCACAAGGGCTAACGTCAGATCACTTGATTTAAAAAAATTCTGAAATTCACATTGGCATCGCTATTCTGAACGGCATTTTATTCGGAACAAAATAGCGTTCACTTTCACACTGACAACACTATACCAGATGTCACTCGTATTCTGTACGCAAGAATACTGAAAATATTGGCAACATTGATACAGACATCACATCTGTTGTTACGAAATAATATTGAAAATCACGATGGCAACATTAATACAGACGTCACATCTGTTAGTACAAAAGAATAGTAGAAATCACAATGGCAACATTGATACAGACGTCGCATCTGTTGGTAGAAAGAATAGTGAAAATCATGATGGCAACATTGATACAGACGTCACATCTGTTGGTGGAAAAATAGTGAAAATCACGATGGCAACATTGATACAGATGTCACATATGTTAGTACAAAAGAATAGTAAAAATCACGATGGCAACATTGATACAGACGTCGCATCTGTTGGTGGAAAGAATAGTGAATATCACAGTGGCAACATTGATACAGACGTCGCATCTGTTGGTGGAAAGAATAGTGAATATCACAGTGGCAACATTGATACAGACGTCACATCTGTTGGTACAAAAGGATAGTAAAAATCACGATGGCAACATTGATACAGACGTCACATCTGTTGGTGCAGTAATTTATTGAATATAGTGGCATTGCTATTCCGTATAGTATTTTTGTTTGGTAGAATTTCACACTGTCGTTTCAGAGAAATCTTATATTTACGCAAGAGTAAGTAAATTCATACTGGCAGCATTAATGCAGACGTCACATCTGTTGACAAGAAAATGTACGGAATATCACACTAGCAACACTAATATAGATGTAAAACGTGTTGGTAGGAAAGAGTACAGAAAATCAATGGCAACATTAATACCGATTTTAAGGTAGATTGCTAAAAATCACGCTAACATCTCTACTACAGACGTCACATCTGTTGGTATGAAAGTGAATTGAATATCGGACTGGCAACATTAATATAGATGTTACATCTGTTGTACTGGAAATCACTCTGGCAACATATAGACATATTATACATATGTTAAGATGCTAGATTACTGAAACCACCCAGACAATGTGGAAGCGAATTATAATGGAAATAACACTGGCTACCATAAGGAAATCTGTTGGAACGGAAAATTATTGAATATCATAGCGGCATCGCTATTCCGAACGGCATTTGTATTTGGTATAAAATAACATTTCTTGCTATAATCTCTAGTTCAGAGGGAACTTGCATTTATACACAAGATCAAGAAAGGTCGGATTGACAACACTAATTCAGACATCATCTCTGTTGATACAAAAGATTACTGAATATCCCACTGGCAAGATTAATACAGAGAAGACATCTGTTGGTAGGAAAGCGTAGAGATATTAACACCGACAACTGTCATATAGGAAGAAAATGATTAACTACCGACACCGATGTTCGAACGTGACACTCTGGACTTATGAATGTGTTTTTCATCAGATGTATAAATAGCGGTGTCAGGCTACTGACTGCGGTGATTATTGAGTGACTATTGAGTGGAACTATCCAGTCGAATTAGTGTGAATTATTGTGTGTCAATGATTTGGGTTTTGATTTAGGATTTACCGGACGTTAAGCCGAGCCGCGCTACTAACAAGTTATTCACTGAAATGGTTAATTATCTTTGATTGACTTTTACTTCTTTGTTCTTGTTAAGTATTTATCTGCGGTTGTAATTAAATACTGTTTTATCTAATCATTGAAGTCTTGAGTTATATTTAATTATTAACGGCCATCGTACGTCAGAAAAACAACATTAACGCATACGTGATATCTGTTGGTAATTTTACTGAATAACTCAATGACAACATCGAAGAACATATCACACTGGCAACCATAATGCAATCTTTCAACACTAATGCATATTTCACATCTGTAAACTCTAAATCTGAGAATTTCATTACTCTTTCGTACCAACAGAGGTGACACCAAAGTAAACTGAAACTCATACTGCCAATGCTAATACAGCCATTACATATGTTGGTAGGAAAAATACTGAAAATGACACTGGTAATAGCAATACAAACGCCAAAACTGTTATACTGACAACACTAATACAGATGTCACATCTGTTGGGACGAAATAGTAATAACAATTACATTGGCAACACTAAAATACATGTCACATCTGTTGGGACGAAATAGTAATAACAATTACATTGGCAACACTAAAATACATGTCACATCTGTTGGGACGAAATAGTAATAACAATTACATTGGCAACACTAAAACAGATATCACATCTCATGGGACGAAATAGTAATAACAATTACATTGGCAACACTAAAAAACGTCACATCTGTTGGGACGAAATAGTAATAACAATTACATTGGCAACACAAAAACACATGTTACATCTCTTGGGACGAAATAGTAATAACAATTACATTGGCAACACTAAAAAACATGCCACATCTGTTGGGACGAAATAGTAATAACAATTACATTGGCAACACTAAAAAACATGCCACATCTGTTGGGGCGAAATAGTAATAACAATTACATTGGTAACACTAGAAAACATGATACATCTGTTGGGACGAAATAGTAATAACAATTACATTTACAAAACTAAAAAACATGCCACATCTGTTGGGACGAAATAGTAATAACAATTACATTGGCAACACTAAAACACATGTTACATCTCTTGGGACGAAATAGTAATAACAATTACATTGGCATCACTAAAACACATGTTACATCTGTTGGGACGAAATAGTAATAACAATTACATTGGCAACACTAAAAAAACATGTCACATCACTTTGTACGAAGTAGTAATGATAATCACACTATAAACACTAATGTACATGTAACATATCTTGGAACGAAAAAGTTCTGAAATTAACGGTGGCAACATTAATCCAGACGTCACATCTGCTTGTATGAAGAAATTATTAAATGTAACCCAACTACCGACGACGGACTCTTGTCTTCTTTATCTCCGTTTGCAAGTCTCTAGTTCTGCTAGATTGGTTGCGTAATACCATCTTTACGGTCAATCGGTTTTCTTTCCCTACTCGGTTCTGTCGTCTCGGTAGGGTTGTTTCGTATTTCCGCAAATCATATGATATTAGGATTGACGGTGAAGTCTAGTGGGAATCCCTTACGTTGTGTACTACAGACAGAACTGCACAAACCCGCCGAAGATTACGCGACACCTTCCATAGCCGTGGTAGAGTTTTGTCTCTTTCGTTCGGGCGCTGGTCGAAAAAAAAAGCTTCTTCAATAAAATGTACAACACTGCTGATAACAACAGGTTTATTAAATATAAAAAAATCTACTTAAATTAAATGTCTATTAGCAACAACAAATCAAAATACTCTACTGCAGGAATGGTTGTTTGAAAATTCTTGTTCTAAGTGATTCCTAGTTAACACTTCAGTTATTCGTGGGAGATTTCCATATTTAACCGCTCAGGTAATGGACCACTGGTCAAAGCTTTTCAATTTTTCTGTGATAGGAGATTTATAATCATAATCGCCCAGATTATGGCCCTCTCCTCGACGTTCTCAATTCTTCTGTCATAGGAGATTTATAATCATTACCTCACATTATGGCTCTCATGTCGACCTTATCATTTCTTCTGTCATAGATTTATAATCATTATCGCTCAGATTATGGCCCTGTGGCACCTTGCATTATTAGAAATATTCATAGAAATATGATTTAATTTTTTCTTACTCGGTTACTAAACAGGTTGTTGATTTTTTTTTTAAAACGGAAAATAACTGAGTTGAAAATAACTCACTAAGATTGTACTAGACGATCTTAAGGGAAGAAGAAGGAAAGAAAAGAAAAAAAAGAAAAGAAAGAAGAAGAGAGAAAGAGAGTTGTATGATGCATGACCCAATTGAGGGTGGAGATAGGAGTCAGAAAGAGATTTAGGTCAGCGTCTTGGCCGATTTTCGAAAGACAATTGGAAGAATAGAATTATAAATAATAAGAAGAAAGAAAGGGAAAAAAGACATGATATCAAAACGGGCCGCTTGATGGAAGCCAGATATCGGTCAAAGCACCTAGCCTACTTTTGCATGGAAAGACACCTTATCAATTTGGATAAAGAGAAATTTTGGGAACAATGAAACAATCTTAATCAGAGAAAAGTGTCTTTGGGTTGAGGGGAGTGACCGGTGGAACGATATACAGATCCTGACCTGTTAAGAATTGGACACCCACGTTAATAAAGTGGAGACATTTTCAAAGTAGATAATTAAGATTTTCGACTATCAGGAAAAACAAAGAGGTAAAAAGAGGGACAGTTGCTTTTGGCTCACGGAGGGCGCGCCAAGAAGGCGGAAAAGATCCTTTCTAAAGTCAAGACTAATTAGCGGCGGGCTGTTTGACAAAGTCCAGGTGAGAGAAGGCCAAGATGGTCATTTTTCGTACGTGCGAAAAAAAGGAAAAATTAGATTTTGTTTTTTTTTAAACAAGAACGATGTAACCACGCCCGCAACAAGAGGAGAAAGGATGTTCGATCAATAACAATTGGTCGGAGACGGTCACGTGATCTGCGGAAGAGAAGGGAAAGAAATGCCCGATCAGGAACCATTGGTTAAAGCGGTCACCTGACATACGAGAGACTAAGAGAGATGGATGTGCGCCGCCCCACCAAAGGTACTATGAGGAAGTAGGGGTGAAAACAATAGCGATAATGGAGAAGACAGAATTAATGCAGCTTTTGGAATTATCGAGAAAACCCTGACGCCGACAGACCCACCCCAGTTTGTTGCGGCGTCAATAAAAAAGCAGGGCCCCAATCGACAAAAATCAGTTCAGCCCCGGACGGCAGTGAGAAGAGACCACCTCAGACGACAGAGAGTTGCGGCTAAGTTGAAACAAGAAATCTTCCACCAAGTTGAAACAGGAAAACTACCAGCCCAAGCAGACGAAGAAGAAGAAATACAACTCAAGTCGGAGAGAAGAATCAACTGCGAATGATCGATAGAAATTAGCCCCAGTGTCGAACTGAACCACACTCCGACATACATACATGATTCTAGAAAGTATGTAATTCGACATTTTTCTATTATTGTGATAGAAGCTTGGTGCCATAGTCCACAGAGCGGGTCGGGAATTGAGAACAATTTTTTTTTTATGTAACGGACATTAAGATATAAAAGGTTGTTACCCTTTTTATCAGCAATTTTGTTTAGTGTCGTGAGTTTTTGTTTTATTTGTGTTTTGCCACCCCGTCGGACTCGACTTGTATCGGCCCAAATCCTGCTGGTCCCGTCTGTCTAAGATCTAAACACAGCGTGGGTAGACAGACCGGAGATCGGTATAGTTGCTTTAGTGACCAGGTATTGGAAGCGAGTCGGGAAAGGCGAGGCTGGTGATCATCTGACCAAAGGGTTGGAGCGGCACGCTTGGACCCAGGAGGAGCGACCAGGAGGAGCGACGTCACCGTTGGCGCCGTAACCAAAGGATCCGACACTGGGCCAGGTGTGTAACCGTCACAGCCCTCTCATCGACGTTCTCTGTTCTTCTGTCATAGGACATTTATAATCATAATCGCTCAGATTATCTCCACTCGTCAACGCTATCAGTACTTCTGTCATATGAGATTTATAATCATAATCGCTCAGATTATGTCCCTCTCGTCCAAGATTCTCAGTTATTCTGTCATAGCAGATTTATAATCATCATCGCTCGGATTATGGCCCTTTCGTCGACCTTCTCTGTTCTTCTGTCGTTGGAGATTTATAAACCTAATCACTCAGATTATGGAACACTGTGTCGACGTTATCAGTGCTTCTGTCGTAGGAAATTTCTAATCATTATTTCTCACATAATGGATCGCTAGGATTATGGCAAACTCTTCAACGTTCTCAGTTCTTCTGTCATAGATTTCTAATCATAATCGCTCAGCTTATGGCCCTCTCGTCGACGTTCTCGCTTTTTCTGTCAAAGGAGATTTTTAATCATAATCGCTCAGATTATGGCCCTCTCGTAGACGTTGTCAGTTCATCTGTCATACGAGATTTATAATCATAATCGCTCAGATTATGGCTCTCTCGTCCAAGATTCTCAGTTCCTCTGTCATAGGAGATGTATAACCATAATCGATCAGATTATGGCCCTCTCATCGACGTTATCAGTTCTTATGTCATGGGAGATTTATAATCATAATCGATCAAATTACGGCCCTCTCGTCGACGTTATCAGTTCATCTGTCATAGGAGATTTATAATCATAATCGCTCAGATTATAGCCCTTTCGTCGACGTTCTCAGTTCTGTCATATAATATTCATAATCATAATCGTCATAGGCGTGTCGGTGTTTTCTACCGGCCCGGAATTTGCGGGTGTGCTCTTTAGCGATGACTATAGCAATTCCGGAGACACCACCATCTTTCCGCGTCTGACGTCTATTTATGTTCGGTGAAAAGTGATTCTCAACGAACGCTTGCTTTATACACAGAGATGGAACTTTCCTGATAACGATGACTGAGGACTTCATTTGTCTACACAGAGACGGTGGACGATGACAATTTCCATTGCCCGACTTCCACTATCTCCGTCCCCTAGAAATGCCACATCAATTAGTTGACAAGTTTTTTTTTTCTTTTCGGCTTTTGACAATTTTGTTCGGCTTCAGTCTTCCTGTCTGTAAAGATGGTGTACACCCTTAGAATTGTGATGTCTTCTATTTCAGTAACCGGTGCTGGGTGATGTTTATACTAGCGTTTGTTAACATCTTCTCCAATGTGTTTGCACATTGTCCAACGTAAATATTTCCCCACTCTATCATGACGATTTTTATATTCATTCAGTGCAAGTGCAGAGCATCCTGAGATGGTCTATGGTTTCTTGATATTTGTCACAGAACCTGCATTTTGGATTCACACTATTATGTATGATATTTGCCTGAAAGTTTCTCGACTTTGGTCTTGCGCTGCCTTCCATTTCAGCCTTTAATCCAGATGCTGTAAACCATCGATGAGTGTTAACGTTATCAACATCGGCTTTATTTGCCTCGTTCTGGATATTGGCCATGCGGAGTTGTTTCTTCTTCATAATTTTGCTGCAATACTTGCTTCTTGGGTTTGTTTTTGGTTTTCTACAGAATCTACTAAATGTAAATCTGGTTTGTATTTAAAACCTTTTTTCATAACCGATATTTTTTGTTTTCGTATTGTTGAACGAATTGCATTATTTAGTCCTTTGTTCTTTCCATATATGTTAGTAAGCCAATAGTTGTTGTCTTGTATGACAATTCTAGCTGAATAAGACGTCGTCCACCTTCTGTATGGGGTATAGACGCTTTATAATATAATAAAATAATCTATAAATATATATATTATATATCATATATATTATATTATATATTTTTACACACACACACATATATATATATATAAGCGAGAGGGTGTCCATAAAGTTCGTGTGCACTTTAAAAGATTTATAACTTTATTTGTATTTGCGATAGAAATATTCTGTAAAAAATGTTATAAAGTTTAATGTACCTAGGTTTAAGTACAGTTAAAATAACTAATGTGATTTCAGGCATTACTGTAAATCAGTTGGCAAATGTTTTCTGTGAACCGCAAAATCGTATTACCTTTTGTATTGCTAATGATGGAGGACATGTGGAAACTTAAATAAAATTTCAATAAAACCTTAAAAAATATAGATTTACTTCTTTTTCTTTTACAAATTATTTCTATCGCAAATACAAATAAAGTTATAAATTTTTTAAAGTGTACACGAACTTTATGGACACCCTGTATGTTTATAGATATATATTTATATTTAATGTACAGTTCAAGATGTCGAAACGCTATTGAACGACTGGGATGGCAAGCCTATAATTCTGTAAAGTCATAATTCTGTAAATATCTTTGACTGTTACCGCAGGCTTTAAGCTAATAGTAAAATTCTGGTTTTAGCACATTTATCCAAACTGAATTCTATTCCAATGTCATCGCTGAAACCTTTTACTGCTTTCAGGAGACCTTTTAGCTCGCTGTCATTCCTAGCATACACCTTTAAGTCATCCATGTAAAATAGATGGCTTATTTTCTTTTGACATATCTTATAGCCATATTCCGTCCTGTTAAGTTCGCTGGTTAATGCTATTAGCGATAAACAAAATAGTAAGGGAGACAAAGAGTCACCTTGAAATATTCCTCTGTTGATGTTTATTTCAACAGACTTATAGAACTTCATTTATATGTTTGAGGTGAAGTATTCTTTTCCATATCGACATACTTTGTTTGATGAAATTGATGACGACGGGTGATACCTGCCATATATATATATATATATATATATATATATATATATAAAAAGTGAACATTGAAGTCAACACTCAGAGGCAACAGGCTGTTCCATGCTGGACGCATAGTTATATTTACATACGCTCTATCTCTGATATTGTGCACTTTATCTCATAAATATAGCACACCCTAAAACTATATTTCATATATATATATATATATATATATATATATATATATATATATATATATATATATACATACATATATATATATATATATATATATATATATATATATATATACATTGCGTCTTATAGATCTATTAGTCCTCACCGGTTCGTATTGGTTCATCTACAAATGGAATCTACAAATTAATTTCGATCACGCAAGATTAACAGAGTTAAATAAAAAGCGGCAAAATAAATAAGCCGATTTTTTTAATTTTTTTTCCGTTTTTTTATTTTGAGAAAAGAATCGACTGCAAGAAAGAGAATTGAAATGGTAGCAAATGTCAAACGTACAAGCAAAAAAGCAAAACCATACAAGACATTTTAGTTTCGTTACTATTTCATCACTAGTAAAACAGGTATTCAAAAAAAATATGTAAAAATGTATCAAAAAATAGATAGAGAGAGATGCAAAAATAGCAGATGGTGATGGGCATGAACAGAGTGAGAGTGAGACAGAAAGAAGTGGAAGGGCGAGAGACTGTAAACATAGATAGATAGATAGATAGATAGATAGATAGATAGATAGATAGATAGATAGATCAAATATCATAATAATAGATATTAATTGAGCATGAGAAGAAGAGTGAGATAGATAGATAGATAGAACAGACTGAGATAGATAGATAGATAGATAGATAGATAGATAGATAGATAGATAGATAGATAGATTAAAATATCACAGTATTAGATGTTAATTGAGCTAGAAATCCGCACTTGAAAAGAACCCCCAACCAGTGTTTAACTGAGGCAGGAAATGGCTTGTAAATTTTAATGTCTCTAAAACTAAACTGCTCTCATTTAACTACCACAGCGAAACTTCCCTGCTCACCATCAGTATGGCTGCTGTTCGACTCCGTGAGAGCGTCTCACTTCTCCTTCTTGGCCTCACATTTTCAACTGACTTGAAGTGGAGACAACTACATTAATTCAATAGTTGCATCTACTGCAAGGAAATTTGGTTCATTGTGTGGAACCAGAAAGTTTTTTTTTTCTCGTCAGAGTCCGTCTTCCACATTTACAAATCTCCTATTCGTCCGTGCATTGAATACTGTTGCCGTATCTGGTCTGGTGCCACTGGTGGTCATCACGAGGTTCTTGACAAAATCCAAAGAAGGATTTATGATGTAATCGATCCTGACTTTGTATCTTGACTTCAGTCTGACAGACGTGATGTCTTTTCTACAAATATTTGCATGGAAACTTCTCTGACGAGCTTTTTTCCCTGGTGCCGCGACTATATGAATTTAAGCGTGCTGGATTGGCAACTAGGTCCCACCCATTTACTGTTGAAATAGTTAAATGCAACCGACACTTCTACTACAACAGTTTCTTATCTCGCACGTCCCAACTCAAAAAATCCCTTCGTCTTACTTGCTTCCTTGATAACTACAATCTTCAAAAATTTAAATGCAACGTCAGCCGCCATCTTCTTCTTAATCCTATCTAAGCTTTCGGCTTACATAAGATGACAATTACTTTTCAATATATCAACCGATACACGTACGAAACAATAATGTCTGTTTTTGTTGCATGAAAAAATTCCAAAGCAACGAGACGCGGAAGCGAAAATCGCATCGCAGCTCGTGACGTCACACATGACCACGCGAGAGTGAAAACGAGAAGTATTAAGTATGGGAAGCCGTTGGTATAAATCAATGGCTTCTGTTATCAATTATAGATTATATTATATTGTGGAGATTTCGTAGCTTATTTTGTTCAGGTTAGGTTTCAACTGTTTTATGCATACAGCGTCAAGAATTTTTAGTTTTTGTTTATTGTTTTCATGTTTAAGTATAGTTGTGTTTTCAGCAAGGATTTTCCGGAATTGCGGCCAGGCATGTTGTTTTAAATGCCTAAAATATATAAGAAAGGCCGCCGTCGATTAAAAACATAGCTACTGTTTGTTTTAAAAATCCATTTGTTTGTTATTTTAAACTTAAAGTAAATAATATTTGTTTAAATCAGATTGATTATACGTTATTATTTTATTTTTGGAAGACATTTTAATACAGAGAATAACATTGCGACGAACTACTATATATATATATATATATATATATATATATATATATATATATAACGTCATCCACAGACAGACTGTTTCGCTGTTTACAGCTCATCAGTGTGGCGAGACATCCGGTTGCCTCTAGCTAGGATCGAAACCCGACTGAATTGGTGTCGGAGCTTCTAACCATTAAGTCGTCGGCGCACGGTAGGGATGAAGGTGGATTTTAGCGTATTTATTTTTAGAAACACGCCCAGTGACCGACAGTGACTCAATTCGCTTTTGCGAATATGTGTGTGTGTGTGTGTGCGCGCGCGCGCGCGTGCGTGTCAAGTGTGTTGTAATGGATAGCGGTTTGGATTGAGGAATCGGAGAGCCGAGTTCGAATTCCAGTCGAATCCATTACATTCACTTACGTGCTAATTCCCTTGGGAAAGTTGTGAATCCTCTTCTTCTCCCTTCAGCTATGGATAAATATCAGAATGGATTGGGTTCTATAGCCTTGGATGGAAACTGGTCTAGGATAAGGACAACTCTGAATTCAAAACCTGAGGAGGATCGTTTGGGGACCCTGTAGCACGTTGCGCACATGGTCTCAGTATTGGGCCCTTCACGAAACCTTCACTCATGTGCTGTCGTCGGGCTGTCGGTTTCCTAGGAACCGATCTGCTTGACCCTCGTAGAATCGAATATATATATATGTCATTCGCAACTAGTGCAACTAGTCATCCGAATGCTTCAAGCCAGGACCGAAACCCGACCTATTTGGTGTCAGTCAAAGTTTGTACCACTGAGCTATTCAGCACAGGGAAACAGCTAACTATAGCGTATTGTTTTTACAAATCTAACAAAACAAACACCAATCAGTCAGAGGGCTCCAATTCATTTTACTGAAGAGATGTGTGTGTGTAAAAATTCAAATATAATTAAAATATATATGTAAAGACATTATAAATAGAAGACAAAAGGACAACAATATATATATATATATATATATATATATATATATATATATATATATATATATATATATATATTAGTGAACTTGAGACATTCTTGATGCAGTCACAACCTCGCTGGGATGGCCATGTTGCAAGGATGTGTGACGACAGAATGTCTAAGGTCCTCATGTATAGCCAGCTTCACCGTGGGCAAAGGAATGTTGGACGACCGTGGATCAGTTATAAAGGCAAGCTAAAGAGTGGCCCCTCAGCTGTCAATGTGCCTCATACTGACTTCAAGCGAGTTTCCCTGGCTAGAAATAAATGAAGATAGTTGTGTCAGAGTCCTTTCAGAAATTTCGAAATCAGTCGTATTGACAAATACTAAATATTTCTGTCGGTATGTCCCGAGATACTCGCTGTTGATTTGGATGCAGGTAACTCGGGGGACTGACACAAGCATAAAAACTGAGTGAGGTTGTCGGATCCTTATACGTCGAAATCGATGGGAGAGTTCATTATATATATATATATATATATAAGGCTCAAACACTAATATTCCATGGTCATAATTTATTATATTAGAATCGTAATCACGATCCAATTAATAAGGCCTACAAATTCCTACAAATTTGTAGGTCTGATGAATTGGACATTGAGTTCTACTTGGATTCTATCCTCTTGGGAATTTATGTATATATATATATATATATATATATAGCATAATGAGAAGCCACGTATACAAAACATTAACTTAGTCCACCATGATACAATCCTAGTAACGATGGATGTTTCGTCCCTTTACACGAACATTCCACATGTTGAAGGAGTATCAGCTTGCTATGAGTTCCTTAGTAACAAAAAATTACCTTACTACCAAATTACAGATATATGCCAATTAATAAATTTCATCTTAACACATAATAATTTTAAATTCAACAACAAACACTATTTACAGATTAGTGGCACAGCAATGGGCACAAAAATGGCACCTAGTTATGCTAATATCTTTATGCACATTCTAGAAAAGAAGATACTAGACAATTCAGAATATAAACCATCACATTACTTTAGATATATTCATGACATTTTCTTATTATGGACTCATGGATCAGAAAAATTAAAAACTTTTTTCACTTTCTGCAACAATTTCCACGATACAATTAAATTTACCATGGAGCACTCATACACATCCATCCCTTTCTTAGACGTTATGATAAAATTAAACAAACATACACTTTCTACCAGTCTATACAACAAACCCACAAACCAACATAAATTCCTACACTTTAACAGCTGTCATCCCTTTAAATTAAAAAAATCTATTGTATACAGCTCATTTCTAAGAATCAAACGCATATGCTCAGACCATTTAGATTTTCTATACAACATTAATAACTTAACAAAATAATTCCTAAAATGCAAATACCCAATAAAAATAATAAAAGAAACACTAAATAAAACTATCCTGATAAATCGTAACACACTTCTCACATACAAGAAAAATAAAAACAACAATCGGATTCCCATGGTTTTTAACCACAATCAATATTCCACACACTTATTCACAATTTAAAAAGGATTACAAGAACCTCCAATTAGACAACAAGATCAAAAGACATTTTCGATAAACCACCCATAAATGCAAAGAAACAATCACCTAACCTATCAGCTATCCTCACCTCTACCAAATATCTAAACAATAGAAACCAATCAGGAAATTACAAATGTAACAAACCTCGTTGCTTAGTTTGCAAACATTTAATAATAGCTAATATATTTTCTGTACCCAACACCAATATCAGGATACAGCAACCTAACCTCACCTGCGATAGCCATAACGTAATCTATTATTTATTCTGCAACTTATGTCCTAATAGTGGATATATTGGTGAATCTGGAAATAATTTTAGATTTCGTTTCAATAACCATAAACAAACAATACGTCAAAACAACCCTTATTCCCCCATAGCTAAACACTACAATCAATCAGGACACACATTAGAAAACTACAAATGTTTATTGATAGATTCCGATTTTACTTCCACATTCACAAGCAGAAAAAAAGAAACATATTGGATTTTAAAATTAAATACACATAAACTATGGTTGAATAGGGACTTAGGTGTTTTAAATCTTTATAAATATTTCAATAGTTAAGCAATTTTTTTAGATATAGTAAAAAAAATTTTTTTAAACAACATTTAAAATATTTATGACAGTTAGATTTAAGTTAGGAATATCCGAACAGTGACGTTCCATATCACGTGAGGTCCGCGTCTCGCGAAGGACGCTACTTGCTAACAAACAGTAATTTTAATTTATTTGTAACAAACAGTTATTTCTGATGAAAAATTGAGGACAATTTGAAATATCAAATATATATATAAATAAATAAATACTTTCATAAAATAAAACATTATTATTTTTAATTTGAAACTTTTTATATATATATATATATATATATATATTGACCACTAATATTATATATATATATATATATATATATATATATATATATATATATATATATATATATATATATATCCCTTTTCATGAGACAACGCAATTCTCAGGTGCTGAATACTGCCTGGCTGTTACGCAATTTAAATTCTTAAAAATATATCTGGTTATCGCAATGTTGACGTTGTTATAACTTATAACGGGAATACAGATTTCTTTTAAATTTAAAAAATTATATTTGTCATTTAAAATAAACGGGATTTCATTTGTATATATATGTAAAAAAAAATGGCTGTCGTTACGTCCACAGGTTTGAATCACCCGCCTTTCTCTACGTATTCCCCCGTAAGAATAATGTTCCGCACAGAAAAGTTACTCCCAACAACTTCTACTTTGTAGAGCAGACTCCGGCATGGATACTTCTCCGAACACTACGATCTTAACCTCTTCAAGTCTTGGGTCAATCTTTATATATCCGCCATATACGTATAATCCCCCGCTTCCCACTCCATCCTCTTACGTTCATATCTCTCACCTCATTAGAGTAACCCTTTAACTTGGTGTTGTGGTAGGATCCACCTAATTTGCATAGTGGAGTACCGACCATATAAATATGGTTGGTACCGGGAAGACGGAGGGAGGAATCAAGAGATTCAATCCAGAGACTCTGCCCGACTGCGACTAAGTCAACACATTCTCCAGGAACGGTCTTCCCAAGAATATACAAAAAACTATATGTAAATATTGTGTACACTTTCTTGTTTCAATACATTTTGTTCTAAGTACATTTTGTGTTGCATTATTATTCCATGCATTAGTCAAGTTTCAACACTTGGGTAGCTCTTAGGCCTTGTATTTGGTGAACTTCAGAAAAAAAAGTAAGAATATACAGCAGACTACATGAATATTTCTACACGAAGAAACGATAAATAATGTTGTGACACTGTTTGGCGTTGTTTGTAACATGTAATAGCAATAAAAAAAAATTATTTGCTAAAAAATTAGTTACCTTCACTAATTTTCGATACCTTGGTTTAAAATTAATTTATATAGATGAAAAAGCTTTCTTGAAGGTTTCATTTTAGCTTTATTTCAAAGCTAAAAGATTAGATTTACTATTTCAAGTAAGAAAAATATTCTGGTGTATTTCAAACAGAAATTATATTGATTGATATCGATTTTTTTCTAAAATATCTAATGAGTGCCCTTTTTTAGTCGTCTTTCATCACAATGCAATTCTCTGTATTAAAAAGTCTTCCAAAAATAAAATATAATTTTTTGAAACTTTATTTGAGGAACATTAGCTGATTTAAAGTATAATCAATCTGATTTAAACAAATATTATTTAAAATTTAAGTTTAAAATAACAAACAAATGGCTTTTTAAAACAAACAGTATTTGATGTTTTTAACCGACGGCGGCTATTCTTACGTAATTAACTAGCGATGACATGTGCTGATAAGGTGTTGAAATGTGTATTGTTGTTCTACAAAGATTATATATGTTGAAAACATAATTTAAGAAAATGACGAATGAGTCACTATTTTATGTAAATTTTAAATACTCAGTAATCTTTAAAATATTGGAAAATCATCTCTGAAATCTAATTTTAGGAATGTTGACTTTAACCTTACCATAGTCATCGCTCTTATTTTCTGATAATGTCGTGTATGGTCGACCATATTTTCAAAAACAAATTATACTATGCTGTTTTGTATGTTTTTTTTTCAGCAAAAAGTCGAGGTACCTTTTAAAAAGTATAAAACAAAAATTTAGCGCAGTATTAGATTAGCGCCAAAGTCTCATCATTTTAAAGATGTAACCGCAAGTTCTATGCTAATACTTTCTTCAATCGCACTTTTCGCTTATGGAATTCTCTTCCAGGTTTTTGCTTCACTGTGAAGTCTGGGCTTCAAAAATTTAAATGCAATGTCAATCATTATCTTCTGTCTTCCTAATTCCTGTTCTTTTACTGTCGTTTCTCCTTAATAGTATATTTTTCTCACATTCTCTAACACTCAATAACCACCCCTCCTTGCGTCTTAGTGGCTTTATTACCTTGCTTGGATTGAAATGATTTTAAAAAAAATAAGAAATAAATAATGAAATAAATTAACCGTTTCGATGAGGTTTAATAAATGATGGGTGAGAAGAAGAAGAAGAAGAAGAAGAAGAAGAAGAAGAAGAAGAAGAAGAAGAAGAAGAAAGGATAAACAGACACTAAGAAAACGAAAGAGCAAAAGACTGAGTGAAAAAGGCAATAAAGCCTCTAAGACGCAAGGGGTTACTGAGTGTTAGAGAATATGAGAAAAATATACTATTAAGGAGAGACGACAGTAAAAGAAGAGGAATTAAGAAGACAAAAGATAATGATTGACATTGCATTTAAATTTTTGAAGCCCAGACTTGACAGGGAAGCAAGAAACCCAAAGAAAATTCCACAAGAGAAAGTGCGATTGAAGAAACTATTAGCATAGAACTTGCGGTTACATCTGTAAAATGATGACACTTTACCGCTAATGTAGTACTGCGCTAAATTTTTGTTTTATACAAAATATATGAACAGTTTCGATGAGAATGAAGAAGAAGAAGAAGAAGAAAAAGAAGGAGAAGAAGAAAGTGAAAGAAATGTAAAGAATAAACAGACACTGAGAAAACGAAAGAGCAAAAGGCTTAGTGAAAATGAGAGAGGAAAAGACTTTTTAACAAAGAAAAAGAAGAGACGACCTAAAGAAGAGGAAATAATAATAGGAAATAGAGCCGGAAAAGTAAAAGAAAAGATCAGAATGAAGGGAGGAGATGGTATGGCGTCAATTGTTTAGACGCTTAATCAGTGAAAAAATAAAAGGAGACGCCACTGTCAGAAATTAATGAAAATTGCAAAGACGAGTTTTATTTTCGGTTATAAAATAATGCATTAAAATGCTTACTCAATTTACATTCCAAATCACTCGCCCCTTTTTTTTTAATTTCGCCTAACTTTGCTCGACCGTCTATTTTATTTTATATGATTTTTGTTTTATTGCTTATCTTTTCCGCAGACTTGTTCACGCCTCGTTTTTCTTTCTCTCACCTTTGTTTCTCCTACCAAACACGCTTCAGAGGCACTTCGAGGTGGTGTAGTGGTTAGCTTGCTTGTCTCGCATAGATTATGACTGAATAGTCAGTTCTGTCTTCGCTGGGTGCCCCATACTTTCAACCTTGAGCCAAATCTATGCCGCGCTTAGAAAACCACCACAGAATTCCTTCAGTCTCGCGTTTTCTTTTCCTCTTTATCTTTTCGCTCTCTTTCTCTCTATGTCTCTCTCTTTCACATACACACACGCTCTCTCTCTCTCTCTCTCTCTCTCTCTCTCTCTCTCTCTCTTTTCTTTAAGCAGTGTCGAGCCCGGTCAATAACTAGAAAGGAGGCCACTTCGCCTTTAAGTAACCCACAAAGGGTTGATAAGTAGTAAACAATTTCCTTTTTTTTTGTATCTCGCCCTTTCTTTCTTTTTTCTTTCTTTCTTTCTTTCTTTTTTCTTTCTTTCTTTCTTTTTTCTTTCTTTCTATCTTTCTTTCTTTCTTTCACTTTTTCCTTGTTTCCCCCTAAAAATTTACTTCCCCTCTCTTTCTTTTTTCTCTCTCTCACTTTCTTTCTATTCTCACTCTCGTATTTCGTTATTTTCAAAAATAATATCATTTTTTTCTCTTTTCTCCTTTTCTTTCCTATTTCCTGTCTTCTACTTTTCTATCTCTTTCTCGCTCCCTCTCTCTTTATCGCTTTTGCTTCTCTTTCTCTCTTGTTTTTCGTTACTCTTCATAATTTTTTCTTTTTCTTTTATTTTGCTTTTTTCCTTCTCTGCCCGTCTCTCTCTCTCTCTCTCTCTCACACACACACACACACACACACTCTATCACACACACTCTCTGTTTCTCTCTTTCACTCTCTCTCATTCACTCTTTTTCTCTTTCACTCTCACTTTCTCTCTCTTTTTCTCTCTCTCATCTCTCTCTAACTCTTTCTCTCACTCTATCTCACACTCTCTCTATTTCTCTCTCTCTTCTCCCTCACTCTCTCCCCTCTCTCACACACTCTCTCTACTCTCTCACACACACTCTCTCTCTCTCTCTCTCTCACACACACACACACACACACACTCTATCACACACACTCTCTGTTTCTCTCTTTCACTCTCTCTCATTCACTCTTTTTCACTTTCACTCTCACTTTCTCTCTCTTTTTCTCTCTCTCCTCTCTCTCTAACTCTTTCTCTCACTCTATCTCACACTCTCTCTCTTTCTCTGTCTCTTCTCCCTCACTCTCTCCCCTCTCTCACACACTCTCTCTACTCTCTCACACACACTCTCTCTCTCTCTCTCTCTCTCTCTCTTTCGCTCGCTCGTTCGCTCTTTCTCCTCATTCGCTATTTCAAACAAAAAATCAATATGATTATTAAGTGCATAATTTTATTTCTTTCTGGCCACATTCCTTGACACATCAAATGAAAAAAACAGTGTACGGATTAGATAAATATAGCAATGTGTAGAAATGGCAGACTTGTTTGTTTGAACGTTACGTGAATTTCTTTTTTCTCTTGGTCTTTCTGATCTTTGCTCTGAGATCGAAGATTTTTATCTGCTTTTTTATGTCGGTAAAATACACAAAGATGCATTTGTTCGTTTGTAATATTTTTGTTTTTTAAAATACTTATGATCTTCGAAACACAGTCACCTTACTATCAGCTTTAAATCATTAAAAATGCAAAAAGAAGCAGCAACAAAAAAAAACATAAGCTAATTTCTAATCTTGGAAAACATAAAACTTTGTGCAGAAGATACCGAAAATTTTTCCAAAATTTGTGTTACAAGCACAAATGCTGTCGTAATGAAAGAAATAACATTTACAAATGAGAAAAAACACTTTTTATATGGCGAATATTTTATTCATGATAATAAAAAAAAACGGATTTCTACAGTTTGTGAGACATTAGATAATTCTAATTTAAAGGTCTACTGTATCTTGGTAATTTTATAGATAGACTACGTACCACAGATGGAAATAGGAAAATACCTGTCTACGAGGGTGGCTAGCTATTCCCTATTGCAGACGCTTGCTCAGGCGCATTTGTGTTTATTCAATACCTACAGAGCCCACCTTTGGTCTATACTGCAACTATGCTGAGCAGCTCTTAGTTCCAGTTTCTTGGAAAGAACGTGTTATCTAGTGTTATCAACAATCTGAACAAGGCCAGCATGTTCAAGCCCTCGGCCACGATGACTTGTGACTTTGTGCTAACACAGCTATCGACGGTCCCCAAGGGTTCCGTCTACCCCAATTCATTCACAAGGCATGGGTCAACCTGTGGTATGGCTTTCAGGCACTTTCCAAAGGTTCCGAACGCTGGGATCGATCCCTCCAGTCTAATAACAAATCAACCATGGTAAGATTCGAACCCGGGCCTTATTGTATTATCAGAATGCGAACACTCTAACCACTTGGCCATAGGTGTACTGTACCTTGATAGTTGTATAGATGGACTACGTACGACTGAGCTTTTTTTTTCTTTTTATTATTAAAATCTATTGCTATAATTTATGTACTGTTACAATTGGTATTGAACTCACAACTCTTTGGGTCTAGTCACTGAATTTAACCAACGTCTTTTTCCACTGGGCCAATACCAGGCGACAGCAGTGGTGAACCAAAAATTGAAGAGTTGAGTTAAAGGGAAATAACTGAGACATCTGGAAGAGGCATAACACGTGGAACGAGAACAATCTAGTGGACGAAATAAAGGGCTCAGATTTAAATTCCTGTAGAAGGCCGGAGCATACAACGGCCGAAACGTTGTGAATATGACAGTGAAGATGAGGATAACAGTCCGAATAATGTTAATAATGCAAGTAATCATAATACCTCATCTCAGAGATGTATAGGCCGAAACATTGTGAATATGACAATGAAGGTGAGGATAACAGTCCGAATAATGTAAATAATGCAAGTAATCATAATACCTCATCTCAGAGATATAGAGGTCGAAACGTTGTGAATATGGCAATGAAGATGAGGATAACAGTCCGAATAATGTAAATAATACAAGAATTTGTTGTAATATTTCTTCGGTTATTTTTTTATTTTATTTATTTATTTATTTTTTATTTATTTATTTTTTTTTTTTTTTTGTATTATTTCTTTTATTTTTGTCACAAATCTCAGATCATCATTTTCCCAATCTTTAAATAAACATTGCGAATTGAAAAGGAAGATGATTATTCAATTACGAAAAGTTGCTTTGGGGATATGAAACGAGAAAATCCTTTATTTGTCCGTTTTATTGCTTTGAAACTATTTTCTGTTGCCGTAAACAAATTGATAAAGTCAACACCTGTCAGATTCCCACGAGTTCTGTCTGCTTTCCTGAGCAACATAACAAAGTGTATGTGGGCGCGTCGGCGGGTGAAATTATCTAAAAAGCTAACCTATTTGGCCATTAAATATAGCGTAACGAGTTCGAGTCTCATTGAATACCACAAACTTATGGATCTGTGTCAAAAGCAAGTTTACTAAGTAAGAATGTGTATTTTTTAATCAAATCACTAAGCAATTATTGTATTTCTATATCCAGTGCAAGCAAAGTGATAATGCCACTAAGACGCAAGGGGAGTGAAAGAGAATGAGAAAACTTTAGATATGAGCCGTAAACCCAATCCTAAACTGAAAACAAGGGATAAACTTCTACTCCTGTTCCAAAAACAGGGGAGGAGTGGGAACCGGGTTAGGTGAACCTATCTACACCTATTGGAGAAGACTTTTAACAAAAACGTGCCATATGACAGTGGGTTCAATTCCCATTGATAAAACCATAATTTTTAACAGATAAATACACGTTAAATATGAAACTGTAATAGATTTCCAATGGCGTGAAAACTTTCAACTTAAAATGTTTCGTTTGGCTGAGAAAATAAATTTGTTTTTGACATGGAAGTGCGCGTAGTGTAGCGGTTATCGGCGTCGAAAGTGCGATTGACGCGCCAAGTTCAGATTCCAACATTTTGTGTTTACTCTCACGCAAATACCCTTGCAAAAGTAAGAATCTATCTTTTCTCCAACCAGCCACAGCTATGGAATACCGCGCACTCTAGCTTTGTTTGGCAACCAGTCTAGGAGAAGAACAACTCCTAAAACCTGCTGGCAAATCCATCCTGTAAAATATATATAAATAATATTGAAGTTACAAGAGAAGCTTCTTTTGATATAGTCATAAGTTATCTGAATTTTCAGATTAAGTATTTTCCTCAATAAAAATACTTTGTCAGTCTTTGTCTAATTCTTTACATTTGCTAAAGATTAAAAGAAATGGGATAAGGAAGATTGTGTTACGCCAATCTTTCAAAAAGCGTTGGTTTGACTTTTTGTCTTGAAAATCCGTATTTAATCATCGAATCAACCAGAATTTAGGGGGGAAATGCAAATATTTCATGCATGTAATCCTATCTGTTTTCAATTAAAATCTTTAGGATGATTTTTATTTCTTTTTTTGTACAATTATTAAATGTTTCTACAATGCAAAAGAGTAGAATGTGCAGGTTAGGATTAGGGTTAGTAACTCGAAAAGGGAATTCGGCGAGACGAGTTCAAATTCCAGTCTAGTTCGTCACATTCTCTTTCTTGTAAATACTCTCGGGAAAGGTATGAGGTTATGCCTTCTCTCCACTATATCTGAGTAGGCTTTCTTGCTTTGAGGCGGCAACCAATATAGGAGAAGGAAAACTGCGGATTCAAGGCTATCTTAAAGAGTGATGGTCTCCGTCAGACTATCTTACCCTAAACATACCACTTTTGCAATGGGTGCAGTGTATGTAATGCCACTAAGACCCTAATAGATTACGGAAACTCATGACGAGACTTGCCAATAAAAAATCCCTATACACTTAT